ATGTGCAAAAACCTAAAAAAAAAACCAAACAAACAAACAAAAACCTGTTGGGGGTCAGTGTCTCTCTCAGACAAGATAAATAAGTGAACTCAGAAAAATAAAAAAGTTGTCTAATGAAGAGGCTCCATATTTAACACCTGACACAACTTTGCCCCTGGCTCAGCTCTTAAACAGTATGACCTCGTTACCCTTTCTAACTTTGCTTCACCTTCTCCTACACTTTACTGGGACTTATGAAGAATAGTTTTCTATTCCTCAATCCAGTGATAGCTGCTCTCTTGAAGGACATTTTCACAGCTTAGATGTGTTTCTTTCTCTACAGCATCAGAGATCTCTCCCCACTTCACTCCAGTCACCAACTGATTTTCCAGATTGTTCTATCCTTATTCTCTGTTCTCTGATCATTCCTCTCACTTGCTTTTATTCCCTTTTTCTTCTTCTTTTTATTTATTTATTTTTTGACCTTGCCAGAGGGCGTGTGTACTCAGCAGAGGGGTGGGAGGGAGAGAAAAAGCTTCTCCTGGGAGATGGTCACCCTGCAATCTCTCCTACACTTCCCCTCCTTTAGGGATTTGGGGCACACATGCGCATGCACCTGGTGGGTTTCTCAGCCTGCTGGGTCCAGGGCCAAACTATGGGGTTGGCCATGTGGGATCCAGCCACCTTAACCACCACACCACTGCTGACTCCCTTAATTTCTTAACTGAATTCGTTTCTTCCACTGTTGCTTCCTATGGTCTAATTTTCGAATTATTTTTTCTTTCTTTCTTCCTTCCTTCCTTTCTTTCTTTCTTTCTTGGAGAGTTTTTTTGCTATAGGGCATGTGCGCTCGCCAGAAAGACAGAGAGACAGAAGGTGAGCAATCCCCTCTCCTTCATTCTCCTCGTAAGATCTTGGGCACACACACACATACACACACACACACACGTGCCCTGCGTGAGTTTAAGCCACTGGGTCCAGGACTCAAACCACGGTTGACTACATGGGTGTCCAGTGACATAGCCATTACGCCAACTGCTGGTCCCTCAAATTATTTTTTCAATCTACATTCTCTTTACGAAATTGTATCCATCCCCAAAATGTCACATTACTACTCTTATACACATTTCCCAAATTTCTCTCTCACCTCTCTTTCATAAACCTCAGACCATTTTCAAGTAACTGCTATATATCTTGATAGGGTGTCCCAGTAGCAAATCAAATTCAACTCCTCCAGGCCAGTTAGGTGGCATAAAGTTTAAGGCAGGTGGATGCTACATGGCTGACTGCATGGTTTGAGTCCTGGACTTAGCATCTTGAAAAACAAATGTGCACATGCATACTCAAAAATCCAAAGAAGAGAATGAAGGAGAAGGGATTGCAATGTGGTCATTTCTCCCAGTGGGGGGGTGGATGGTGGGCGGAGGAGGGGGCTTCTCACGTTTATACTCTCTGTCTTAGCTAAGTGCACACACCCTATAGCAAAACAAAACAAAACAAAACAAAAAAACAGAAAATTCCCCTCCAAGTCTTTATTACATACAAAAGGGGTGGTGGTGGTCTGTAGGTCAACTGGTACAAAGCTGTAGCTATGTAGGATGAATAAGTCTAGAAATTTAATTTACAACATGGTGGCTACAGTTAATAATACTGTATTATACACTGGAAAGTTGCTAACCGTAGATTTCAGGTGCCCTTACCAGCCCCCCAAAACACATAAAAGACAAACTAGGGGGAAAAAGCTTGCAACATATGACAAAAGAATACTTGTATTAATATACAAAAATTGATATATAAGTTGTTTTACAAACAAAAATAAGAAAAGAGTTAACGATTTTATAAAAATACCATTTACAAATAAGTGAATAAAGCAGTTCTTAAACGTTTCACACCTAACAGACCAGTAAGAAAAAAATCAGCCAGGACCACATTTGGGGAAATGGGAACTCTCATACACTGCTGGTCAGACTGTAAATTAGTAAGTATATTCTGGATAAGAATTTGGCTGTATCTGCCAAGTTGAAGACACATGTACCCCAAGACATTTGGCTATATATGTGCTATAGCAGAGGTTTTAAAGTTTGGAGTGCTTCAGAATCATCTCTTACACAGACTGCTGGCCCCACCCCCAGTTTCTGAATCAGAGGTCTGGGATGGGCCCAAGAGTTTGCACTTCTAACAAATCCCCAGCTGATCCTGATGATTGGCCCCTGTAACCACGCTTTGAGAACCACTACCCAGAGCAACTTTGCACATGCGCACAAGACACAGAAAAGGGAGTTCAGTGTGGCACTTGAAACAAACTGAAAATCCACTGGTAGGGGAAGAGATAACTAAATTGGATTATTTTCAAAAAATGGAAAACTCTATTTGAGGATTTAAAATTAATGAACAACATGAGCAGATGGCATTAATGTTTACGTCACTGACTCCCATGTAGTCGGTCATGGCTCAAGTCCCAGACCCGGCAATTTAAAACTCAGGCCGGGCGCCTGTTCACGTGTGCCCAAGACCCCGAGAGGAAAATGGAGGAGAAGGAATTGCAGCGTGGCCATCCCCCATGGAGGGTGATGTCTCACTTTCTGTTTGTGTCTCTCCGGCGAGCACACATGCCCTATAGCAAAATTCTTTCTCACGCACATGCACAAAAAGATGTATATACTATTTAAAGATATACTTGTACATAGAAATAAAAAAAGAACAAACTATGTATCAGTTTCATGATGGGAGAAAAGGGAGAAGAATGAGACCAGGAAAAGAATACAAGACATTTCAAACTCCTCATGTTTCTTTAAAAATGAGGCTGATATGAGGCAAATGTGACAAAACAAATACCAGTTAGGGAGGACCAGTACTTGAGTACGTACTATTCTTTGTCCTGTTCTGTTCTATTATTTTAATGCTGTAGCAAGTGTAAGGATGTGTTCCATTATATCACACATTGTCTGGTTTATAATACGAGGGGAAAATTTCTTTCCTGAATACCTGGGTTGTTTTCAGCTATGGACAGACAGTATGAATCTTGTAATTGATTATGCTGCCCTCTCTGCTTGCTTAGTAGAAAGCCATGAGACAAATATGCGACTCATTTCTTAAAACTACAGCCTCATAGGCCAGCCGGTGGGCTGGTGGGTAAGAGACGGACCTCTCATGGCTGACCCATGCAATGTACGTTCTGGACCCGGCAGCATGAGAAACACTCCAGCCACACGAGCCCAAAATCTCAAAGGGAGAAAGAAATGGAGGAGGACTGTGGAGTGACCATTCCCCACGGGGGGCGCAGGATTTTG